CCCCAAAACCCCAAAACCCCAAAACCCCAAAACCCCATATAAACCAATACAATTTGAAGACATTTGAAAATGAAACTGAGCCATGATGAAATAGATGAATCTAATGCTAGGCTAGTCGAGAGACACCCTCTCTATTACTCTGGCATGACTCTAAGGGACATATTCCCCTTCTTGTGATGATTTAACAAGAAAAGTGATGGGCCTAGGAAAGATGACAAAATAGACTCCTTCTTATCGTCTGAAGATGAGCGCAGTGATGGATATAGGCAGGGTAAATAAGGAAAAAGAGCGATATCATAAAGTCAGAACTCAAAAGATGAAGTCCAAAAAGGGTTTCCTCACACTTGGGTACGGCTTCGTGGCGTATTTCAACTTCTTAGAATTTATTATTCTGATTTTCACAGCCCTTACTCTTCTTTCACTTCCTTCGATGTATTATTATTGGAACTTCAGAGAATCCCAAGATGAGAGTATTGGGTGGATGAATAAACTCTCAATGGGGAACCTCGGATACTCTCATGCATTATGAAGAGACGTACACCTTGGAGTTGGAAAACTCACTCTTAGTTGATCCACTGGGGTGATAAAAGATGTAGTGTCATTTGGAATCATCCCAGAAAATTCGAAAACTCTTGATGCTTGTCTTCCTACAGAAGAAACGGAGAGCTGTAGACCCGTACTGAGAGAAGATGAACTTGCTGGCATCATCAATAATGAGTGTTTGGATAAGGAAATTTGTACCCTAGATGTTATTTCGTATGTCAATAAAACAAGAGATCACAACCCTATTTGTTCCGGAATTGAAGCAAGATTCTATGCACAGGTATTTTGTAAAGCACTTGATGAAGAAGAAATCTCGTCTAGAAAATCAATCCAATTTGTGTTGATATGGACAACAATATTCTCAGCTCTGCTATATTTCATTGGATTTGAGTTCATCGACAATTATGCAGAGGCAAAATTGGAGGAGTATGATCAAGACACAACCACAACATCTGATTTCACTGCCATTTATAAAATACCTCCTGAATTATATGAAAATTTTAAACAGAATATTTACTCTCAGATGAACGATAGGTTGCAGAGAACCAAAAAGAAAACTTTAGCGCCCATAATGGCATTTAAATTCTTCATGATCGACGGAATTGTTAGAGAGCTGAGCGATGATGATCCTGAAGGCTCCAAAGCCATCCTCAGCTCAGGAGAAAAGGAGTACCAAACTCAAAGAAACTGGGATATTCAAAAAGATTTTAAAATTAGCAATATAGATAAAGATAATGAATTCTTCAGAATTGACAGCAACAGGAAGGGAAATAAGACTGAACTAGACTACAGGAAATTTGTCGAAGAGGAGGTCAAGATGAAGCAGGATGATAGTCATCAGCCGACTTCTAGGAAAAGCTCAATCAAAGGTAAAGATATCCAAATGAAGAGGTTATCGACTACTCGAAGTGAGAAGCCTAAGTTGAATAAATAAAAGGACTGAGTTCCTCAACAGAAAAGCGACACCAGGAACTCTTGACGATTACTTCAATAAAACTAAAGACATTGAGATTGCTGATATCCATTTCTCTTTCAAGAACAGAGAGATCCTTTATCTGTTGGGTGAAAGAGGTAAAGCTATTTTAGATAATGACAATGAAATGAAGGTCATGATTCAGAATGAAATTCTTGCATTGATTAAAAAGGAACATGAGACTTACACTACCCCAGTATGTGCATTTATTACGTTTGCTAACGAGGAGTCTTACTTAAGAGCAACAGAGTTGAACAAAGTAAGAATAGGGAATAAAAGCTACTACAAAAAGTACTGGCAAGGCCATCCTCTTTATTTCAAACCAGCTCTTGAGCCATCTTCAATTTTGTGGGAAAATCAGTATGTCCCAAAAAGTGAGAAATTTTGGAAACTTATGGTGTCTCTTATTATAGTATTTCTGATCTTATTTGCTTCTTTTGTATTTCTCTTCTATGCTCAGAAAGAAATATATGACTACATGAATATTTACCCATATATTGATTGAGACTCAATCGTAAAGACTTATGAGAATTCCCTAGAACATTATGGAGTGCTCGAGTGGGTTTACCTTAAAGAAACTCTCAATAGCAAAGACTTGACTTCGAGTACAGGGACACTTAGCTGATTTTGCAACCAGAAATCATTAAAAAGTGGCATTTTAGCCACGATGAACTCTCAGCATTACACCATTAATAAGGAAGGAGAATTTGTAGGAGGTCACATTTGCTATGATTGGCAATCAGGGAAGACATTAATCACATTCCTCGATGTCATAATCACTTTGGTGATCTGATTTGCAGATATCATACTCAGAAATATTGTTGTCATCCTCATAAGATGGGTAAACTTCAGGAGTATGAATATTGAATCTGTAACTATTCAAGTCATCTTATTTGCATCTCAGTATCTTAACAATGGGCTTTCGCTAATGCTTGTTGGGATCAATCTTGATGAGCTACTTGGGATAAGAATCTTCTTCCTTGATGGTAGATATCCTGATTTTACAGACAGATGGTTTAATGAACTTTCAAATTTCTTTATCACACCAATGTACATCAATATCTTCGTTCCTTTTATAGAGTTTGGCGTGTTATATCTTATTTATGTCATAAAAAGAAGACTTGACATGGGATGGTCCCGTGATATTTACTCAACTAAATGTAAATCTATGGGTCAGTATATCAATAAAATGTCTGGGCCAACAAATGATATCTTTGATGGTTACTCTTACATAATGGTGATCATCTGGATCAACATGTATTTTGGTGTGGGTCTACCTCTTCTATTTCCTCTTACATTGATTTCAGCAATAATAACATATGGATTTGAGAAAATCAAGACAGTCTATTGGTACAAGAAATCAGCCATGCTCAATGATCGCCTCAATAAGAATGCCATAAAAACTTGCAAATGGGCAGTCATCTTATATTGATTTGCTGGCTATTGGTTCTTAACAAACAAGCAGATTTTCTATGACGAAGTTACAGCTAAAACTAAAAAGAGTGACATCATTACTACTAACCATACGTATAAAACAATTGAGATAGACCAAAGTTTCCCGCTATTGATTCTGTTCTTTATGCTATTGGCATACATGATATTTTACTCAATTTATTCATCAGTTTCCTCTCTAGTAAGAACTGATACAATGAATCAATATTTACGGAGCGTGGAAGATCTATATTCTTACTACGATAGCCTGGATCAGCACGACCTTAAAACAATGATACTTGAGGAAGAACACAACAGAGATGTCTTAGATTATAGTAAGATGGACGACAATATTTTGAAAAAGTTCAAGATTAGCAGAGTTAAGCGGCTCCAAAGCTCCAAGAATTTATCGCAGAAGGAAAATGAGGTCTTGGACGATAAGACTATTTTCAATAATTTCACCTACGATCTACTGATGGAGCCTAAGTACATTGATTTGTACCAATACGTCCCTGTGATCTATAGGGATATAAACCAGCCTTTCAGACAGGAATACAGAGACTCTGAGTTTGTCAGAAAGTGAATAGACCTCGCTTACTACTATAACCCTGAAGATTTCTATAAAACGAAAGTAGACCAGAGGATGTCAGTGATACGTAGAATGGATTACAATTTCAAAAACATGGCTTCACTGTCTATGAAATCATCTTAAGAGATATTTCAATTACTCTGACTATTTTTGGGGTTTTGGGGTTTTGGGGTTTTGGGGTTTTGGGGTTTTGGGG